AAAGGCATGCTTGCATACACAGTGGGTTTGTTCTGGGTGACCTCTCACATGCCAGCAGAAATGTCTCTGCATGCCACTTCTGGCACAAGTGCCACAGATTTGCCATCATGGTGCTAGGATTACCTGTAGTTTGTGAAAGAATCATTCTCAGAACCCTCTGAGACAAAGAAATAATAGTTCCTCAGTTCTAAAAGCTGTCTGGCTGAGCAAAGGTTTCCCTAATCCTAGTCTAACCCCTTATGGAAATTCAATGTGATTCCACTGTTGTTATTTAAAACATCATTCCCATTAGCCCTACATGGCCAATTGTGAGAATTGATGGTATTTGCAGTTTTCCTGGGCTACTTGCTACTGACTCCTGCTTCAAAGGCTAGCCAACCATGACCTCCATTTGCCCCTCACTGATATAACTAATAATCCAGGATTATAGAAGTTGCTATTCAAAACTGCTCTTCATGGAAATTTTCTGTATTTACCGATTTAGTTTGTATTTTCTTTCCTTGTGACTATATCGCATTTGTAAAACATTTGCATTAAAAATTGCAACCAGTCCATTTTAGAAGGCATTCTACTATATATCCTCTTAATGTCAAGATTGCAATGGCATTTCTGTTGGGCAGGTTACTGGGAAAACAGATGACCTCTCCAGTAGCTGCTTTACATGTACACAAACTATTGGTAATGGTGATTAATAGTATTATCAGAATGGCCTCAATTAAGACTTCCTTGACCTGTTGACTTTACCCTATTGTTCATTTCTTTCCTATCTGCTGATTTTACACTGATTGCTGTCACACATTAACACTTTTCTTGGTTACTGATGCCGCTGCAATATTTCCTCCTCCACTCCAGAGGAAAAAACTAATAATAAAAACAAGAAGGAATGCTCTTAACAATCATAGAAATAGAAAGGAAAGTGATCCATTTTAATTGCTTGTACAATAGAAAATCTTGCAATTGCAAGTTGCCTGACTGAAGTTCAGGCTTTCCTTAAGTGTTTCAGTTCTGATGATTCTTAAAATCTCACTAAAGATTGTATCAAAAGAGATAAAGAAAGCAGTCATATTTCCACACACAGGTAGTCCTCAATTTACAATTGCAACTGAAACTAAATTTCCATTCTTGAAGGCAGTTAAGTGACTCATTTTAAACTTTTTTTCTCCACATTTCAGCAAATTACTGCACTTATTAAATGAATCATGTGGCCCTTGAACAGATGTAGCTTCCCCACTTTGTGACTGACTGGGTAAGTTACAAATGGAGATCACATGACTTCAGGAAAGTGATATGATAAGATCATCATCAGTCAATTGTATAAGTCAGCTTATATAATTTACATCCTGTGATGATAATTGTAATGCCATCAAACAACAACGCCTAACAATCTCAGGTCCTTGAGAAGGGCTCAGCAGGTGGATAAAAATGCCAAATCCAGTCTAAACATCTGGCTGAATGTGTGCCCAACCATATCATAATCATAATAAACACAAATAAAATGTAACAAAACCAAATAAAATAACAAGTTAACAGAAAAATAGATTAAAAGTGGCAATGACAAATTATTTCAGATATTTGGAAAAGTTCTGCATAAGCAGCTTATGAAACCTCCAAAGGAATGTGCAAATATTAATTCTAATGGAAAGTATTTCTCAGAAGCTGAGAAACAGTACCCCTGGCCTCACTTGCCCTAACTTCACAATATGGTTAAAAGCTTCTCTTTCCAAGAATAAGCTGTTGGGCCAGATGAGTTGGTAGAAGATGGACTTCAGGATTTATAAGTTAACACCAAATTGAGTTATTGGTAAGCAATATGGGGAGGGACAGAAACACAGGAATAATTTAATATTCATCTGTACCTGAAATGGTTCCAACAATTGATTTCTCTTAGTATCACTTACTTAAATGCCTACTCCCATATCCACAATCATGTCCAAAAAGGGAAAGCTGTACAATAGTTATCAAATATGGCTAGACTGGACGCAACACAGTCTGTTTTGAGATTGCAAGCATCACCCTTGTCATAAAGAGGCAATGATAATTTCCTGGACCTAACTAACGGCACCTTCTTTCACCTATCTTCTGTACCCTAAAGGAGGCAAGAAGAGCAGGGATCAAGAGCACAGGTGAACTTCCAGCCATACATACTACCGTAGAAAGTTCCATTTTAAATCTTTCGTTTGCTATACCGTATATATTTTGCAAGGTTTATTTAAATCAAATTTGCAACAAGCAATCAAAAGCAGGAGACAAATGTTTTCCGATTTAACACTACTTCAAATCGGCCAAATTCAAACGTTGAGTTCTCCCTACGTCATTCATGATTCCGTCCTATAGCGGCAAGACGAACAGAGAGACCAGGAAGCCCAGTACCTGTATTTTTAATCTTTGTTTAGCCTAGGAAGTTAAATTACTAAAGCCACTACTAGCCTATATCGATCTGCATAATACATGGCCTTTACATTATCAGATCACACTGAGAGCAAGACCGTGTAACGTTGACGAGGCTAAGAACGGTGGCAACAATAATTCTACAAATTGGGCAGTGCCTGAGCAATGGACACGCTGGCGTTTAATTTGCAAAGCATTATACGGTATTTCCAAGGCAGCATCCTTTGCTTTCATTTAGCCGCTGCTGCTGTAGTTATTCAACGGGTCTATTGTGTCACCACCCCCGCCAGCAGCCGCTTTCTTCCAGCGACCGTGACCCGAAGCAAAAAGTGACCGAGAGTAACCTTTGCGCTCTTCTCTCCCGCGCGCGTGCTTTCCCCCACCTCTCACCGACACAACCGTTTTAGAACGTAATAGAGCCAGCCCCTCGCGCGCCACCCTGCGCGAACCAATGAGGATTCGCTGCCGCGGCATACGGAATGAGCATGGTCCGCGCCGGCGATTGTGAGGTGCGCCAGCTCGAGGCGGAAGGAGGGGGAGGGGGAGGCTCATCACGGAGACTTGGGCCTTGTTCATTGGCTCGGCGGGGCTGGTCCGCCCAAGGCTGGAGTTAACGTATTGCCCGCAGAGGGGGCTCCCGGCACACACGAGGAGCGTCGCTTTACCAGCTTCCCCTCTGGCCGCAGTGGTGAGTTCGGGAACCGGGAAAGGGGACGGAGTGTTTGTTGGAGGGAAGAGCGGATGGGTTTGGAGGGCGAGGGCCCCTTTTAGGATCGCGTTGGGAGTCTCCCAGGCTGTGACAGAGCAAGCGAGGCAGGAAGGAAGCAGGGCAGTCGTTTCTTAAGAGGAACGGGATCAGGACCGACCCAGCACGGGCTTGAGGAAGACACCCGGAGGTGCCTGTGGGAAGCAGGCGAAAGGCTTTGGAGCTCAGCATCAGACCCGAGAGGCCTGCTGCATAGTTCCAGAATTTATTAATAAGGTTTAATCCTGCACGATTTTGTACCAAGAAAGTCGTATGCAATTCCGTTTCCCTCTACCCGGGTTAGGCCGGTGAAGGCTGCAACTCCGTGTAAAGCTTACCAGCGAGTAAGTCGGATACGCGGCGAAGTGGGGGCGAGCTCATTTTTGAATAAATGTTTCTGGCTGCCTTGTGTATCCACTTCTTACCTTGTCGTAAAATGCCTCAAGAATGTTCATAGTTGCGTATGATAAATGGTAGTTCTTTCCACATGTGCAAGTTTTAAGCATTATTCACTCACGCTGATGCTTTCTTGAGTTGACCCTTGAAGTGTCATCCTGTGCATATGGATTCAAAGTAAGCTCCATTATATCTGCTAGAGTTTCCTTGGTAGTAGTAGAAAGTAGGCTTAAGGTCACACTGCCAATTACCTAATACAATTACCTAATTTCACAATTTTTATGCATAAGTTGAGTAAAGAATTCTGCAACTTTTAACCTATGTGATTGTTCATTTCTATATTAGCAATTGTGAATATAGAAGCAGGACTTGCTCTATTCATGAAAAGTATATGAACATTTATGCACTTGTGCCAGTTCTATTCTTACTACCACTACTGCAAACTAGCATCACTGATAGGAGCACACATGTGTTTCTATAAATAGGGTTGAGTGGCCAGAATTCAGAACTGCTTTAGAGTAGTTAGGAGAAACTGTTAAATTAATTTATGATATAATATGGTGGTAAATGGTATCACTGCAGTAGATATATAAAGTATTTCAGAAGAGTAAGAACTTTTTTTCCTTTAATTTGCTTTTTACTTTATTTTTTTTACTTCTAGACTATTTTTGCTGTGTACAGGTAGAGTGGATCAGTATGTTAAATTGCCTTTCATGTATAAGAGAGCAACTTTCACCTACTATAATCCTTACTTATCCAAAGCTCTATGCACTTTCATTAATAGAAATTGTGATAATATCTGGAATATGGTCTGCTAATTTTTAATATGTTTATTGAATTTATGGAAAGTTGAAAGTAAGCATACTTGGGACTTTATTTTTACCACAAAACTCAACTTTGAGACTCCAGTACATTTTTATAGCCAGAAAATGTAGAGTCATATTAATTATTTTTGCTGTGACTAGTTATAAACATTCATAAAATCAATATGAACATATGAATTGGGAACCGTGTGATTTTCTCATTGGTTCTTTTAGTGCCTCTGTATGATTTTACACAAAGAGACTTCTAGGGGAAAAAACTAATAATGGATAATTTTCTCTGTCGGTATAATAAAATCAATATTATGTAGCTGAAAATACTGATAGTAAACTATTTTTGGAAATATTTAATTAGGTAATCACTTGTAACTTTCAGCAGTGGCTACTAAGGTATAAAGAATTTTCCAAATACCCGCTTGATTAGATGATTCTAACCATCTTGCAAATTACTTGTCAGACAAGTTTCTTTAAAAAGTTTACCATCAATTTGGGGTCATCAATCCATAGATTCTTTAAATCAAGAATATGCAACATATGGCCAGCAGAGCCTTACTTACCCTTTTCAGAATTGTATAACAACATATACATTTGAACTGTATCATCAATGCCAATCTAAATATATGTTGCATTTCCAACATGGTTGTTTAGCTTCATCTGTGTTCATGGCCATATTAGTATTCTGTGATGAAGAAGAAATCTTCAGCATTAAGATATATAAAACCTGAGGCTCTGTTCCTGAATTGCTGCATTATTTTCAGAGTTTCAGATTCATTTCATCTGAATTCAAAATGAACAACCTCTTGGATCACTTTGCCATAATTGAGATACTATAATCAGAAGGTATGCACTAATGTTTGTTTAGAATTTAGCCACATCTCTCTTATATTAGCATCTTTCATATGCTCAAGAATTAATTCTACATATAAATAAGTGATTGCTATTTCTGATCTCAAACGAGTCTTTTAATATTCACTCATCTTTAAAGGCATGGTTTTTACAGTCTAATTCTCTTAATTTTTTCATTTGATTAGGATTTTCCTTCCTGATTTTTTTCTTGGTGTATTATCTAACTCAGGGGTCCCCAACCCCCAGTCTGTGGACCGCCATGCCAGGAACTGGGTAGCACAAACAAGTGAAGCCCCATCCCCAGTATGCAGGCACCATGGAAAACCACGCTCTCCTCTAGTCTGCAGAAAAAAACTCTCTGCGGGAATTGGATGCCACTGATCTAATTATTCACTTTTTTAAAATGCTATTCATATTAAGGAAATATATTTTTTATTTATAAAAAATGCTTATTTTTAAGAGAAGGTTCAAATTTAAAAAAAAAAAACTTCTAAATTTATACTATCAGTACAGAGATTCTTTACTGGATGGCCATAATAAAAGCAGAAAAGTAATGATGTAAATCTACCTCATCCAGCTGCTCTGGTATGTGTGTTAAGATTCTTATATGCAAAAAGAGCTTTTTGCAGTTAACAGTTGCAATTCCTAGACTGGGGGCTTTGCAGACAATCACTTTATCACTTTCCATATGGGCTGATACAATATGTTCTACATGGGGCTGCTGCTGAAGACCACTTAAAATGTGTTGGTCCAGAATGTGTGGTCCATGATGGGGCATACCATGTTATGCCCATATGATGCCTCTGCTCCATGACCTGTACTAGTTGCCTTCTAGCATCCAGGTACAAAGTGTTGGTTACCACCCATAAAGACTTTCATGGCATAGGCCTGACTATCTGAAGAACCATCTCTCTGATGGTTTCTGCCCCACCCTGGACAGAATAAGCATGCTCAAATATAATAAATACTCAGGTTATCACTAGGGCTTTTCTACAGATACCCATTTAGTTTACTTTATTGTCATTGCACCTCGTACAACGAACTCAAACACCATCTTCAGTGCACATCATGACCATGACCATGAAAATAAACACATACATCCTTCACACATTGAACCAGAATTAAGTAAATAAGATATAAGTGCAATAAATATTGCAGCTTTTTTAAACTACATATTTAACCCTAATAGTATAATTATAGTACTTCACTATATATTTTGAATTTTCTAAAGCAAGAAATTAAACAGTATGAGAAAATGATAATTATCCTAGTTATAGGAGATATACATTGCAAACAGGTCTTTTGTATGTGAATTCGTATCAGAAATAGGTAAACTACCGTACATACATGTTTATGTATACATCAGTATATAAACCAACCCTTGAATTTTTGACCAAAATATTTTGAAAAAATGTGTCACCCAAGGGTAACCTGACTTAAGGTTTTTGTATTCTTTAGTTTTTACTATTGGTTAATCCATGGGTTTCTATTTTTCATGTATTTTGATTAAAATGTGTCAGTTTATCCTCAGTTGGGCATATTCACTAGTATATACAAGTTATATAGGAACTTTTAAAGGTATTAACGTATGTACTCATGGATAATCTTATCTATGCATAACTTTGGCGGCATATTTTGGCACCTAAAATTCTTGTTTTATTTACAAGTATATACATTATGGTAGGTTTATCCTCTAATAGCTTTGAATTAAATTACAAAATCCCTTCTACTCAGCCAGCAGTTGTAGATATGTTAGTTGTCAGCAATGGTAGGGAAATGCATTTCAATGATATCTTTTTCAGATAGGCAAACATTGGGCCCAAACATATACCAAACCAGCAGTGGTTGGATATGTGTAACATATAACATTAAAACAAAGCCGATAATGAATTAGGAATACATGTAAACCTAATCTGATACTCTTGTGGTTATGTGTGTGTGTATGTATATCCACACACATATTTTCTACTAAAAGCATGTAGGGAGTTTGTTTTGAAAACATGCATACTTCTAAGAAATTACAATTTCTAGCCCCCGACTATAGTCCTCTGTGTGTTCTTTTTGTACTGCATTTGTCCTTCAGTTGGGTTTAGCGTGGAAATACTGTTGGAAGAACTCCATGAGTGCATTGGAATTTCTTCCAAATGCTTTCTGAATTGGATTAATTGTTTATAACAATGTTTTCATCTTTATGTCTATGAAAATACTAAATATCAACTTTTCCATTTAGGAATACGTGTGTAGCTCAGTGGATTCTGTGAACTACTCTATTGGTGGTCCTCAATAAAGTATTTAAGGCATAGTGTATATGAGGCACACTTTGCTAGTCAATGGCCAAAGTAATAATTACAAATGACTGAGGCATAACTTCCCTAAAGAGAAAGAAGTCCATTAGAGACAAGAGTCACCAGTCTCAATTTTGGTACACTGAGATAAAATGATTGAATTACTCAGCAGATGTTTTTGGGGCTTTGGGATTGGAGGAACCTATGAAAGATTTAGATTTTAGAGCCAAAATAAAGTAAGATTTTGTTCTAGTTAGATTTATGTCTTACTTGGATATGTCATTAAAAATATTTAAAATGTTGGAATGTTTATTTGGAATTTAGACTACTTGGGCCTGGTACTCATGGACAAACTGAAGACAGCTGCTTTCTCCACCAGCAGTACGAAAATTTGTTTAAAGTATTTTCTACTTCGATAGAATTATCACCTTATATCAATAAGTACTTCAAATATTAAATGTTGCAAACTTGAATTACTTTTCATTGTAATTGCATCTCATGATACCTCTCCAAAAGTGGTCATTTCATTTGGTTAGTAGGAAGAATGATTTAAAGAACATTTAGTGCTTACTCTAAGAATTCAGCCTTTAGTCTAATTCAGTCTAAGAATCGTCCCTTTCAAGAATGTGCAATCTAAATTCTTAAGGACCATATTTCAAGTCCCATGATGTGTTTCTTCCTAATCTGGTTTTGAGCCATGGGGCTAGTGTAACCAAATTGAAACTTGTACCAATATTTACATTCTCTCAATGATTGCATATACCTCCTCCCCATAAGCTTGACACCTGTGATTTTAAGTAATGCCTTTATTTCATTTTGAGGTAGGATATTGCATGAGAAATTGAAATGTTGTGTTCTCTCACTATAAAGATATAGTGGAACTAGTTCATCAAAAAAAAATCTGATTATGCTGGATCCTTACGATAATGTTCCAAGTGCTTGCTCATATATGCTGCTTAACAATCTGTCTTCAAACATTGCCAAATATCTTTTTGAACATTAAGGTAACATTTGCTCTTTTGTGGTCAGTTTTTGAAATTCAGATTTAATAGCAATGCTATTTCATCTTTCCCATTCCCTGCAATTCTGTTTTAAAAAGAGCTAATATTAAAGCCTGCAGCTGGTTAGCCACTGTTGCTGGCAGAATGCTGAGCTTAACCCCCCCCCCCCCTCACTTTTTCTGAAACATTTCATGAACAATTGCACAGAGTGAAATCTTGGAGTTGTAATAATTGGAAGAACTGCAGCAGTAGTAGCTGGAAAAAATAGGCAAATATACTTTGTAGTTTACTTGTAATCAATAATGAGTACATAATTCTGGGCAGGAATCATACAAAGACAATATAAACATCCATGTCCCATTACAATTATACAGTTCCAAGGACAACATAAGAACTGAAGCACCATATAAAAATTCCAGAAGACAGACAGCACAGATATTGTGCTCCACTAACGTCCTGACCCCAGCAGCACAATTTTATATTTTTGTTCAGTGTGACAATTATGTAATTGCCAGTAAAGCAAAAACCCACAGTAACATTTGATATATTCATTTTACTGAGAAAATAAATTATTATGCAAACGCTGGAAGATACTCAATTGTTGTATTATATAGATTGTCTGATAAAGTTAAAACACAACTGAAAGCAATAAAGAAGTGTTTTTTTATAATAATGAAATAAAATTTAAAGTGTTACTGTTAATTTCAGTCTCCTCCAGATTATGTGGGCAGCTTTTATTCAATACCATTATTCGATTTCAAAGTAGAATACATATTTTCCATCTCTTCAAAATCCTACTGATAGATTAGAAGGATCCTTCCCCCCCCCTCGCTCCTGCCCAACAGTAATATTAGAACAGCTTGTTTATTCTAATACATCCCATTATTTATAAGAATAAACTTCAAAGAATCTGAAACATGCTCTCAAGTTGTGTTAACATCCACTTCATCTTCCATAATTTTATTACACAACCAGATTTTCATCTTCAGTTCTGAAGTTTACAGACTGCCATAAGAATACTGATTATTAGCTACTATATAGTTGAATAATGGATTTCAGTGAGACTGCACAGGATTGCAATTTAATTTGTTTCGATGGCATAATATGATTAGTAAGATTAATGGCTAGAACATTTGAAAATGATTTAAGGAAGTTTCAACATAGCTTGAATATATCATTAATATAATTAAGGGTTTAATCTGTTTAGTTGGAAGTTTTTTCCTCTAACTTTGAAAATATTTTTAATAGGCTATATAACATCTCTTTGTATCTGCCTAATAAAAAGATTTTAAAAGCTTCCAATATTACTATAAAATTTAATTTGAAATATGTAGAAAATTATGAAAAGGCAGGTTTTAAAACAAACTGATTAAAAGTCTTTACCATATCAGTCAGCATAAATAAAAGTTTGGAGAATGGGAGCTGCAGTACAAAAAAAACATGACGGGCACTAGGTTGATTAAATATAATGGTTTTCCAAACTGCCAATACTTGCAACACTGCTTTTTGTGCTAAAAAAACAAAACAGAACACTTTGCCAAATTTGTAGTTATTCAAAGGAAAAATATTCCCTCCACCCAAAAAAAGACTCCAGCACAAATCCCTTTTCAACGCTAAAGTTGCTTTACTTATCTTTAATAGCAAAGTGCTGTAGCTGCGCTTGAAATCAGTGTTATCAGTGCCTGAATATTCCGCGGGGGGCGCTTCC